CGGACGATAATAATGTTTGTAAAAGTGTCTGTGTGAAATATAGGCATCCTTATAATTAAACCTTATTAGAAAACAGAGGTCCAATTTAAATTAAAGTTAGAACGTATAGCTCTAATTTAAACTGAACTTAAGAAGTATGGCTCTCAGAATTAAACTTGAATAGTATGGCTCTAATATAAATTAAACTTGAAGAGTATAGTTGTAATTTAAGTTAAATTTAAAAAGTATGGCTCTAATTTAAATTGAACTTATGAACCATAGCTCTAATTTAAATTATCCTTGAAAAGTATAGCTTCAAAATAAATTAAACTCAAAAAGTGTGGCTCTAACATAAATTAAACTTATGAAGCACAGCTCTAATTTAATTAAACTTTATTCAAAAGTATATCTCCATTTCAAACAAAACTTTATAGTGTATTATCATCGCTACAAGTTAAAAGTACAACTGTTACATCAAAAGATACAATTAGTCCTCCATTAAAGTCATATTCGATAAAATAAAATGTATTTACTTCAAAACTCATTTACTGCAAAAAATAACTATATTATTCACGATTAGCTCTGAATGTTTAAATACCTGAAACAGTATTAAATATGTAATATTTAATGTACTTCAAAATGTATTTGAAACCTAAATATTTGAGACCTAAGTGTTTGAGACCTACATCTTAGTACAAAATTCAGAGACAATATTCCCGAATCAAAAATGAAAGATACTTTAACAAAATGAGACTACATCACATTAAACTAGAAAATGCAAATATATAAATTATACAGTATAATGAATACAATAACCATCATATTCAGCAATTTATAGAGCTGTCACATCAGATAGCCAAAGCCTAAGCATCTTATTCCGTGTCACTGGATATCTGGGTTGCTATGGTCATCCTGGTCCATATCTAACATTAATAGTGCACACAGCTGATTGCAATTAGGAAATTTACCGGATCAAAGACGTAAACTATACACTGTAACATCGTTCGGGTCAAAATTAAACAAGATTTCAACCGAGTTGCGCAGTACAATGACCGTCCTTTGACATGTATTGAACGCAACCGAAATTCAGGATAAACTCAAAACGAAAACAAGCGTAACAATTATAGTTTCACTAAAAATAGAAAACTTTTATCGAGCTAATTACTTGAACACAATTTTGCTTTTACCGGAATGGTTAAACGGAATTCGGTTAATTAAGATATTAATTGCTTAACGCTGATCTGTTATCATCCCGTTTGGAAGTCATTGTGCCATCGTTTAATTTCCCGAGCATAATTACACCCTTATTTAATGTAGGAAGTCTGACCGTTGATATCATTTAACCGTATAATTTGTTCCCATAACTACTGCCTCTAATTATTCAAAGTTTATTACAAACCGGTTGGATATAGGCTGCCACGTTTATTATTATTACGCTTCTGAATAATGCGAGGTACAGACACTCATAGGTAATTCATTACAATTTTCTAAAATATACATGATTCTTATCTAATGGTTGTTTAAAATTTCACCTAACAAGTTTTACTTAAAATTCTATAAATATCTTTCATAGAATTAAATGAAATTTAGCAGAGTTATTTATATTTAACAGATTGATTATTATACTTACTGAATACCCAAAATATTTTAAAAGATATTTCTTCACTGACAATTTCAAAATGCCCAAAACCATAAAGTACCATAAAGAGAATATAAAATTAATACGTCAATGATATAAATCCTAGCGTATAATACGGCGGTTGAAATGATTCGATAACGAAATTCTCGTTAATTGAAGATCTTTTTTCACGGCCATGAATATTTGACCGATTAAATGCGCGAACCGAAACTGAAACTAAGCCAACGACGCTTTAACAGGTTTCCCGTGTTCTCGTTAAAAATTCAGACATTTTTTCGCGACACCAACGAACGAGATTCACGTTCGTGATTTACCCAAAGCAGCAACATCCTGCCCGAAGGATACTCGGTTTAAGCTCAGCTTGGTCTAATCTTTCTGATTGTTCTGGCGTACTGTGTAACTGTGTACGTATGTAGATCTGGAACAGAGGTTTTGATGGAAGTTACGTCAGTGTCTAGCAACTATAATATGCTTTCGAGACTTCCTTCCCTCAAACTATCTTTACCGAGCGTTGTTGCGTGTAAACCGGCAACCGTAAATGCTGCTTCTCCAACTCGAGTTAACCGTGATAAATTGAGGAAAATGAGCTAACTAAGGTTAAGAAAACTGCTAACCGGGTTAACAGTGGCATCTTTAACTTTGTAACAGAAACACAAATTATATGTTTATCGGAACATGGGATCAGTGTCGAGGTTAGAGGCGGACGGGGTTCGTACGTTTAGAGATGTTGCAAGATTGCAGGTTTTTATGTTTTGTGGAAATTGAAGAAAATTGTTTGTTTTATTTTCATTTTTGGTTTATGAGAGAATATGAGATTATAGATTTTTATACTTTGTGAAAATTTAATAAAATAGTTTATGTTATTTTTGGTGTTGATGTACAAAAGAATATAAGATTGTAGTTTCTTATATTTTGCGGAAATTTGATAAAATAATTTGCATTATTTTTTATGTGAAAGTACAAAAAACTACAGGATTATAGATCCTTGTATTTTGTAGAAATTGAAGGAAATAATTTACATTATTTTTGATTTTGAAGTACAAGAAAATTCAAGATTATAGATTCTTATATTTTGTAGAAATTCAATGAAATAATTTGCATTATTTTTTATCTTGATGTGCAAAAGAATAGAAGATAATACATCTATATATTTTGTGGAAATTTAATAAAATAATTTGCATTATTTTTTTTCTTGATGTGTAAAAGCATACTAGATTACAAGTTTTTATATTTTATGAAAAAATGAAATTATCTGTAATTCTTCTCATTCTTGGTTTTAATATTTCGTTTAAAAATATTTTTATTTCACAAATTTTATATGAGTGTGTTTGATTTATATAATTCAAGAATAAATAAAAATTACATTTAGAGTAAAGTAGGTTTAACAGGAGACATGAAGCAATTTTCTAATTATTAGTGTAATGAAAGTTATAAGAATAAAATATTCGAACTACATATATTAATTAAAACATTGAAACTGCTTTTGGGTAAATCTCGAAGCTGATTTTCACCATATACCATGCATCAAACCCATAAACCACATTCGATTTCTTTACAAAAAAGCAAAGTTTACATTGTTATGAAAAATTACTTGTACAAATAGTAAATTGCGTTGACAGAAAGATCATATGATTGACAAACTCCATTTTGATAAAATTGTTTGGTATTTGTTTATGTACTCATATTTTCTATAACCCATATTAAAGGGGTAAAAACCCTCAAACTATAAATTTATAAGAAAATATTTCCAAAAGAATTAAATATATTTTAGACCATTCAAAATGTAAATTGTCCCTTTTAAACGTATTACAAAATAATTTTGTCAATTGTTTGATACTAGAAAAATTAACTAATAATGTTCAAGAGTAAGTGATTGGTACAAGTAATTATAGCAACGTAAACCATGCTTGACTTTGATAGAAAGTATTTTAATTCTACCTTGATAGAATATATCTTGGTTCTACCTTGATAGAACACGCCATGATAAAGTGAGATTCTAAAATCCTTAAAGTGCACAAAATCCTTCTTCGCAAAAGTAATTTGAAGAAGGTAAAGATCTGAAATAAGATCGTCTAAAGAAATGTGCAGTACAATCTATTTTATGCAATATATTTTGAATGGAACTCCAAAATAAAATATAGTGCACTCTAAATGCCAAGAGAGTATTTACTGTCGCATTTTGAGGAGTCAGTTTACGATCTCACTATATCACGATTATGATTATAGTAGAGTATACTAAAGCTGGTAAAAGAAATTTGTTCACTGAACTTGTTACTTGTTTACTGAAAATAAACGCACAAATGGCTAGTAAATTTCCTACTAAAATTTGTTAAGCAACTAAATAACGTTTATATTTCTTCTATAGATTCGATTACTAAAATCTTATAAATCACAGTTTTCAATGCAAGTGTCATTAAAATTAATAATATGTTCGCATTAACTCTGCAATCTTTATTACAGTTCTCAATTATCGTGAAAAGTGGCTTCTAATCACTGCAATCAATACTTTATTTTCAATGTTATGAAACAAATGTAGGACACTAGAATCAGATTAAAAATCAAGTAAAGTTGCATGAAATGTACAGAAACGTGTTCGTGACGCAAACGCAAATATAGCACTATAACGATAATTTATTTCTTGTACAGTTACTCTGTTAGAGATTAAACAAACATATGTGACAGTAATGTAATTAAATTTTTATCTGCAAGATATATTTTTCTTGTTATTACTGCAATTCTTAAACTTTAGTCCACGGTCATGTTTACGAAAAGAATGTGTAATAGAATTTAAACTTTTTAGAAAAATATTTATACTTCTATTTATACTTCTTATGTTTAAGAAGATCGTGAATTTAGCTGCTAATAGAATAGAATAGTTGAGGAAACGAAGTTTATATAGCAGGTTGATACTCTGACATTTTATGGATATTTGATGGACATTTTGTACATAGTTCAATCAGATAAAGATGTTTAACTTTTATTATTTAACTATTTATTACAATAAAACATAGTCTTTATACTGATATTATCAAACTCAATGTGTACTGAAATAATTCAAAATCTATACCACACAATATCTCTCCAAATCTTAGAAACTTTTAAAACAAAACTTTCTGACAACACTTTATGTTATCCATGACATGCAGGGTATATAGAAATATACAGGATGAAAATACTTTATAGACTAAATACTTTAAATCCTTATTAGACTTTGATAGAATAACTGAAATTGTACATACACTTTGCTTTTAGCTAGTCAATATACTTCAAAGAGAAACATGCGGAGGGTTAATAGTATAGTCTTTTCTAAGCGAACCCCGTTAGCTCTAGTATGCTCTACCAAAGTAAATCAGACTTAATTCGACATAAAAAAATCTCGAAGGTAGCGGTACCACCTGGGGTCGAGGTAGCCGGGGACGAGGCAGGGATCGCGGGGGCGGCGCGAATCTCATCGGTTCAGGCGTCGCCCCCGCGAATTACTCTTCAGGACTGCAGGGCGTAGCGCCTGAACTACGGGAAGTTGTGAATATCCTTGGCGAGAGGAATCAAGTTGGTACGCTAACTGGTGTGGGACCACCACCGGACGCTTTGGACAACGACAGCCAGGGGGACGAAGAAGAAGGCACCTCCACGAAGAGACCACCCCGACCGCTCTACAGGAGGCTGATCAACTACATACGGCAGGCTTGGACCGGCGTCAAATTCGCATTAGGTACTGTATTTTGTTGGATTATTAGTAAAGTATAAGTATTGAATTTAACTCCTTCCCGTGCTTTGATGAGTCTGACTCGTAACGCACTTACTACTCAAATGTGACAAACTCTACTTAAATTTTGAATACTCTTTAACTTCAAATTTAAGTGCAGCTGTCAGTTGCGTTATCAAGGATCCCAGACTATAAAATACGCAACACATTTTAATTTTCTTTGTTCGGTTTAATGTTATAGCCCTGATTAGTTAGTCTTGAGTGATGTATCTGCTAAATAAATGGCACGGGAAGGGGTTAATGATGTGAAACATTGTCTGTTCTCTTCATAAGGGGCTGTCTAGAGAGTAGACTCTACACTATGCTAGTAACTGAATCTTTGATTGTACTACGTTTGATTTGTACTAGGTCTATCATTAGAAGGAGACAATGGTTTCTTCCCATGCCGTTTTTTTTCTAACGACAGATCAGACAAGGTCTATTACCATCAGTTACTGGCATAGTTAAACAGTGTCTAAGAAAACTGTACTGACACCATTAGGTTTAAGGGTCTGAGATTGTTTGACACTGAGTAAGAATAGTAATAAGAATTATGAAGGCATAGTTTCTCTTTTTTTTTAAGTGGACACCCAAATTTTCTTTTTAGAAATCTGAGTTTCACTTCTCGTACAGTATTTCAATACTATCAAGTATTGAGTGTCAAGACGTCCTTTCGCACTTCAAATAGAGATCATAGAGTAAATGATAAAATAGTAGATTTGCCACCCTTTTCCAAGAAATTTGATAAAATACATTTTAAGTAGATTTTTCATTCTTCTCCAAGACATTTGATAAAATATATTTTAACACTATCACATTTGATTTTCATAATACTCGTCGGTAATCCGTACTGCAATTTTAATTAATTTTTCATAAGAAAAGTAAATGAAGGAAACTTTTGACACTCTCACTGTTGAGATAATAAATTGCACTTTATCTTAATAATTTAAATAACCCTTCTTCTTAAGAAAGAGTTAGTACACTTGTTCTTAACAGGGATTAAGTTCCTTGTTCTTAAAAGATTAAGTTCCTTGTTCTTAATAATCTGTGTTATGTGACAGATATGTTAGTTTGCACTGTGGTAGACAACGTGGTAACACGTTCAAACATAGAATTAGGTTGGAACGTAAGTGCGGTTATTCTACCCAGAATGGTCTTGTAGAACAGTGATGGGTAGATTAACCCTTTGTACTATAGTGACGAACTGTGCTCATGACGCATTCATGGTAAACCTCTTATGTTTTTAGAACACTTAAATTTTTAATTTAGATGTAATTATAATTTGCGTTGTCGAGGTTCTTGAATAAAAACTGGTATAGTATTTTAACACTAAAACTACCAAACTGGTCAAATGCTCCACAAGTTTCTTATTATAAGGTACAAATTTTGTTAAAGCACATTTCTTGAAATCAGTATTGATTTTCATTGTGATAAAGAATAAATGTGTGTATTAATTTATGTTCTGTTTGTTTATTTATTCTTTAACTTCATTTTTAATTTCAAAGTAAGTATACATTATATGTCGGTAGGTTTAGTATTAATTTCGTTTATCTGTTTTAACAAACACTAATTATCAGTATCAAATAAAATATGTACATAATCAATCAAAATCTAAAAATTTGAATCTACACATTATTCTGAAAATCATCCAACAATGTAAAATATCTGTATGATTAAAATCAGGTAAATGTATTCGTGTATTCAGTACAGAGACGAAAATACTTGAAATATAGTAGGTAGCTTTGAAGCATAGATCCTAGGGATTTTCAAAGTTTAAATTTTTGCGGTTAACGTTAGCCAAAGTTTCCAGATATTAGGCAGCTCAAGGAAAGTTCCTAATGTTTCGACAGGATTATAGTTAACTTAATCGGGGTTCTTGATGCGCACGCTGGCATCCTTTCTGATTACTTCTCATTTAACTCGAGTACGCTCAAATTCTATTTCAAAATAATTATTTGTATATAAATGAAAATAACTATCATAACCCCACTAAAAATCTTTTAAAATATTTCATAATTTTAAGATAAAATTTTTAATTACGATCAGTTTTTTAGTTAACAAGAATCTTTATGTTGGAGAGACATTAAAGTTAAAGTCGTTGAAATAGAATTGTAAGAGATGAAAATATTATATTAGAAAAGATATTAAAGAAATACGTATGTACATATATTCAGTAATATATAATTTATGAATATACTGATTGCATTAAAAAAAATATTATACAGTACTTGCATATATAACCTAATAGTACATAACCTAAAATTAATAACATTAGGATCAGTAACAAATTTAGCAATTTATTAAATTCATATACCACTGATATCAGATGCTGGTGGTACAATATTCAACTCAAATGATGGTATATTAAATATACTAGTTGCATTAAAAAAAATATTATATAGTACTTGCAAACATAACCTAATAGTACATAACTTAAAATTAATAATATTACTATCAGTAATAGAATCAGTAATTTATCAAATTAACATGCAACTGATATTAAATACTAGTACAATATTCAACTCAGGTTAAATGATGGTGAAATTATTACGACAGTTAAATCACAGTTGGTGCATTTAAATTACATATAACAGTGTAAAATTGTACAGAACTATGATACACTTCCCACGAAATAATTTCCACATGAGTAAGTTCGAAATAGTTGTATCAAACTGTATCACAAGCAGAGTATTGAACCAATGCATATCTGAAGTGCGTCCAAAACATGGTAGACAACGTCGAACTCAGAAATCGAGCGAACTATATTCCAGAAAGCAAATATGTTCGCGGCAATTTATCGTGCATCCCACCATACGCTTGAATTGCATCCCATGAAAAGGCTGGAACACATTTTCCTGAAACGTGTGAGTCTCCTGAGCTCTGTTGCAACGAGTCTCCGAAGTTCCTCACGTGCTTTACTCGGGCCATCTATGTTGCATGACTCCACCATGCTTCCTCGAGGGTACGTGCACGTTAGCCACTTTTCTACGTGTCCTTAGGTTTATTGTGCCTGACTCGCCTTCAATCGACCTTTCCTCGATCCTTCACTGAACGACTATCATTGCCGTATATTTATCGCTCGTGCGTCTTCAAATATTTATTTCTCTGTTATGTGGACGAGCAATCGTTCAATTGGGAGAATAATGTTAGTGTTGTTGGAAAGTTATTATAAGTATTATAGTTATTATACATATATATTATAGACACAGCATGCTAATAAGGTATACTAATAAGGTTAGGGGGTGCTTTCAAAAGAACACGTTGGCAAGTTAGCATGTACTGCATTAGTACATTAATACAGTAATACAGTACATATTATAGGCACAGTATACTAATAAGGTATATTATCAAGGTCAGAGTGATGCTTTCAAAATAACACGTTGGCAAGTTAGCATGTACTGCATTAGTACATTAATACAGTAATACAGTACATATTACAGGCATAGTATACTAATAAGGTATATTATCAAGGTTAGAGCGGTGCTTTAAAGAGGACGCCTCAATACCTATGCTAAGAAGTGGCACTAAAATTAAATAAAATATTATTACATTTTATATGTATTTTACAATGTATTATACACGTATTAATACAGCAGTTCGAATAACATATATGACACTTCAAAATTAATAAATAATATATACAGAATTTATATAAAATGTGAAGAGATGATTCTGTAATCATGAAAAATGTTCTGAAGTTACTACCAAAAACGTGTCCCTTAAAACTCTAGAATAGACTGTTTCTTTTTAGGAGATTCAAATATACATTATTTTGGTTTATTAATCAGAAGACAGCAGCTAGATTCACCATTTAGAAGATATCATGCCATTCAAATTAACTATTTAGAAGATATCATTCAAGTGAGCCATTTTAAAAATGTCATTCAGGTTCACCATTTATAAAATGTCATTCAGGTTCACCATTTATAAAATTTCATGTAGGTTTACCATTTAGAAGACATCATTTAAGTTTGCCATTAAAAATATTATTTAGGTTTATCGTTGAGAAAATACCAATTAAATATATCAGTTAGGTTCATAAATTAGAATATATCACTCAGATTAATCATTTAAAATATATCATTCAAGTTAACCATTTAGAATACACCACTATAGTATATCATTGAGAATATATCATGTAATTTTCTCATTAAAGAAATATTATTTATGTTTATTATTTAAGAATATCAATTAAATTTATCATTTAGGATATACCACTTAAATTTATCATTTAGAATATAATATCACTTAAATGTATCATTTAGAAGATGCTACTCAGATTAACAATATAGAATACATCATTTAAATCTGTCATTAAAAATTAGTTCCATACCAGCAAATTCCTAATATTCGAAGAAAATCGTTCCAAAATTCTCGCATAAATCAGCATAAAAAAAGAAACAGGTAATAATTTCCATTGAACGCACAATTTCTGCTAAATTGTGTTCGCGTTGTTCGCACAAGCGTCGCCTTTCGTTCGCATGGAAGGTAACTGAATTCTCAAAAGCATTTCCCAACCTACACTCCAACGCCTCGTTTAATCGAAACGAATAAAAGCATACGTCGATGTACATCGAAACAACTTGACAATAGATTGCTTGCCACTCGGAGGGGAAAAAAATTCATTTAAAACATGTCAGTGTACGTTGCCGTGATTGGTGTGTCGATCGCACGTGTTTCAAATTGTAATTGAACGAAAAAGAGATATGAACGTGCGAGTGTTAATTATCTGCACTTTCGAAATGCCTGTGCGATTGAAATACCGCCATTAGGGGATCAAAGAACAGTTTTCAGCTATCAAATTATGATATACGAGGTATTAATCGCGAATTAGATCCATATTGAATAATATTTTACTCGATGAGTATGAATTATAAAACTTAAGAGTTATATAATAAATTTTCAGTTAACCTATCATTCTCATAATTACAATATATACAAGGTTTTAATAATGAATTAGATCTACAACTTTAATATACATAAATAATAAATAATGTTTCCATTATACATAAATTATGTAACTTAAAGTTGCTCTATATGCATAATATCGTTTGCAATGATTTTTGCTGTAAACTCATTATTCTATCTGATATAAATTTTCTTCACAAAATTAGACTTTTCATATAATTAACTTTCCACAAGTAGTTGAACCTTTTGCAAGCTTCATTTAGTACAGAAACCTTTTTGCATTTAATAAGTCAATAACAACTATATAAAGAATTAAATAATTTCGTTGAAGTGTCTATTTACAGTCAATGTCCGTATTATATCTGTAAACATAAAATGGCGTCTATGGTGTTCAAAATGGCAGCAGATGCTCAGATTAATAAAAGCAAAAGAGGTTATGTTCTAAAGTTACGTAAATATCGTCCAAGTATTTGATTTCTTTGATTTGATTTGATTTCTTGTTTAAATAAAATATGTTTCTTTTTAAAGACTCAGAATACGAAGAAGAACAGACGCCACGATACAGACCTGACTCTTTGGCGAGTCTTTGTCGAGCCACAAGATTCACCGAGGCAGAGCTGAAGAGAATATATCGTGGCTTCAAGGCAGAATGTCCCACAGGAGTCGTCAGGGAGGAAACTTTCAAGTGCATCTACTCACAGTTCTTTCCGCAAGGAGGTAAGCACGTTATGATATAATATCTGAAAAGTGTTACTACCGTTTTAAATTAACGATGAACGCGGCTAAAACCCGTGGGAAAGCGAACAGCATCTTGATCCGTTTAATTAAACTCACTCTATCCACTCTGTCTCTCTAAACTCTCTCAAGCTTTCAAGATTCCTCTTTTTTCAGCACTTACATACGTTCGCGTGTTTTCATGAAATACGCCGCTTGAATACGGTTTCAGAAACGGTTAGTTGTGAGGGAGTAAATGAAATTTTAGATATGAGAAGAGTTTTGCTGTTTTATTGTAGAGAAATTTTAATATTTAGTTGTATCTATATTTTAATTTTATATATTATATTTAAATATGTTATATAAATATTATACATTTAATATATGTTATATTCATATGTTCTATATTTTTGGATTGGGAGAGTTCGCATTTATTGGAAATTTGGAAATTTTTGAATTTATTTGGAAAAAAGTTTGGAAATTTAAATTTAAATTTGGTGAATTAATACTGTAGAGATGTACATTTTGAGTAATATTAAAAATGCACGAGTATGGACGTTCTTAATTTAGAAATATGGGAAAATGAAAATTTGAAAATTTAGGAACTTGAGGATTTTAAATTTGAAAATGTAAAAATTTGGTGTTTTAATTTAGGAACTTAGGAGTTTGAGAATATGGAAATTAGGTGATTTTATCATTTAGGAAATTAGATGTCTTTAATTTAGAAACTTGAAGATTTGGAAACTTGGAAATTTGGAAATTTGGAAATTAGGAAATTTAGAAATTGAGAAATTTAGGAATTGGGAAATTTAGGAATTGGGAGGTTTGAGAATTGGGAAATTTGGGAATTGGGAAATTTGGGAATTGGGAAATTTGGGAATTGGGAAATTTGGGAATTGGGAAATTTGAGAATTGGGAAATTTGGGAATTGGGAAATTTGGGAATTGGGAGATTTGAGAATTGGGAAAATTGGGAATTGGAAAATTTGGAAATTTGGGTATTGGAAAACTTGAAAATTGGGAAATTTGGGAATTGGGAGATTAGGGAATTGGGAAAATTGGGAATTGGAAAATTTGAAAATTTGGGTATTGGAAAACTTGAAAATTGGGAAATTTGGGAATTGGAAAATTTAGGAGTTGGGAGTTTGGAGAATTGGAAAATTGGAAAATTAGAAAATGGGAAATTTGGAAAGTTGAAAAGTTAAAAATTTGGAAAGTTGGATTTTGAAAATATAAAAACTCAGAATGTTAAAAATATAATAACTTAGAAATGTAATAATCTAAAGCACAATAAGATTATAATAAATTTAACTGAAAATTAAAAGGTCTTTCAACGTCCACATCAAAATGGTGGTAGGTTCACTAAACTGCGCCATAAGCTGACAAAAAGATGAAACGGTTTGCATGTTCATTCTTTCCAGAAAAAGGCGTTGTTCTCCCGCTATAAATAATATAGATGTACAAGATCGCGTGTAAAGCACTTTTGTAACTATTTTCAGCATGTTTGCTAGAGGAACGAGCGTAGGTACGAATTTAAATTTCAAATGCTGCAATTCTGTGAATAATTGGCTGTTATAAGACTAGGAGCAACAGTTTGTACACCGAAATACTTTTCATGCTTTCGTGTAGTCTCATTTACGAGATTTTCTGCATGCACCATCACGTTGTTAACAAAAAATGATGACATTGAATAATTATCACACTTCAGATATAAATTTTCACTGTACTTTTCAATCCTCTCACAACAGAAAAGACAATGACTTCTTTTCGACAAATAAATATAAAGTAACACTTTTTTGTATGTATGTAATTTTATTTTCAAGAAAATCCAGTTTAAAAATTCTACGATACTTCTCTTTTCACACGTTTCTTCTTTTACAAACTTTTTCACACATTTTATTTACTTTTGCACAGTTTTTTATTACGCTTTACTTATTCAAACTCGGTTATGACGCATACTAATTAGTTTGCAGGAAATATAAAAGTCGTATGTATTCTTTACAAATATTTAAAATCCATTTTTTTTATTACAACCTACAATTTAAATTTTTATTTCTGATTTACATTTTCTGTTTATATTTTAATTTTTTTTTCAATTATAATATAATTGCATTTTGTACTGATGACGTCAAAACGTTAATTTTTTAGTATGTTTCTTACAAAATGTCAAATTACTAATTTCTTAAATAATATACCGTAGGTATTGATTTTTAAAAAATTATTGTGAAATTTAATTTTGAAAAATCATCAAAAAAATTGTGATACTTAAATTCATCCAATAAAATCCTTTTATTGTTTCTTTAGGAAATGTACACTTATTAAATAAAATTCATACAACACTAAAATATAAATCATTATATAACTCTAACTATTACATTTCCTTTAAAAAATTGTTGTCGTCATTTTATTTTTGTTTAACAAGAAACTATTAATATTTAGTATCATTTATTTTTGCTAGCACGTTAATCTCACAAATTCAAATGAACATTTTTATTTTCCACTAAAGAGAACCTTTTCATGCTATAATATTGATTAAAAGTTGTATAATCAAAGTATTTTTAGACCAAATCGTAAAAATAAATGGATACGCTATTTAGAACACGTACAGTTTACTAATTGGCTTCCAGTCCGTAATTACGAACAAATAAGAACGTTTTTTATTGTAAATTAATTTTTAAACGTTCTTTTTAACGGTACCTTTTACACGTCCCGTAATTATACCATCCTTCATCTGCATAGTTTATAATCCTTCTTCATACTTCATTTTGCGCTTCTTTTTCTGCACGTTGAATACGTATGAAAAAACTGGGAATGATTTATAAAAGCTGTTTCATTTTTCTTTTGATTTCTTTCAAATTTCTGTGATGGGCAAAATGAGTGGAAAACCACTCGGACCTCTTTTTTATAAAGGGAATAATAAACTGAATTGAACTCTTTCTGTGACAGATGACGCGTTAAACAGTGATCGATAATATTGATCGAAAACATTGATTGATAATGTGTAGTAACATACTGTGTAGTATGTCGGAAAAATAACGGAACTTTGTAAATAAAAAGAAAAGAATTAGTTATTTTCCAAAATTAATTATTCTTATTAAAAATACATTCCTTCCGCATTAATACATCGCTGGGCTCACACAACGTTAACATAGATTTTTTTATTTCGTTTTGAGGAATCAAACACCCTTGTCACTGCTGCTTGGACTTGTGTAACATAAATCGTTCCTTTTATACCTAATTTCAGTTTTGGAAAAAGGAAGTAATCACACGGAGATAAGTTAGACGAATTTGGAAGATGTTGAAGTACACAGACTTGTTTTTCCGCCAAAAATTCACGAGCGACAGTTCTGTGACATGGCGCGTTATCAAGCAACAGAAACCAACTTCCCGTCGCTCGATATTCGGGCCTCACACGAACGATCCTCTTCCACAAATGTTCCATAACACCTAGATAATATTCGCCATTAACATTTTGTCCCTGTGGAACGAATTCCCGAAGTATAATTCCTTTAGAATCGTAAAAGCAAATTAACATTGTCTTCTCTTGGGACTTCTGGAATCGCAATTTTTTTGATTTTGGAGAGCCTGGAGATTTCCACGTAGCACTTTGGAGCTTTGGTTGAGGTTCATACTTGAAGCACCAAGTCTCATTACTAGTTACAATTGATTCCAGGAATGTACGGTTTCGTCTGGCTGTTTTGATAAGAACTTGCAATATTCAACGCGAGCAATTTGTTGCACTTGCTCGCGATTTTGTGACACGGTGACGGAAGGTTCTGTCGCATTAAACGCTATAAGTTTACAATTCGTTGGTCGATTTCAATAATAATTGTTGTGTTTTGTCGAGGAGATATACTGCTTTCAAATAGCATATCCTTTTAATAAATGGTGCCAGTTTTCCTTTAATTTAAAAAGTTCCTTTACTTTTCCGACATGCATAGATGAATACATAAAAATATAACAAAATACAAAATACAACATAAAATACATGAGTGAATTTTCTAAACAACCAATCGTACAAAGCCAATTAAACTTCGATGAAAAATAGTAACCCGCAACTACAGATCCGTTGTTCGATCAACGGTATCGAGTTTAAGAACTGTAGGAACGCTATTTCTTTCTGTTTATTCGCAATTTAAATTCCCTCGGTTTCACCGTAACGCTACGTTTCGACGAAAAAGCATAAACAATAGCGAAGTGATATACATAGGTAGCAATGGAAGAAAAATACAAAGGGAAAAGGAGAGGACAATTGAATAGCGCAAACAGTCCCATGGTATTCCGGTGAATACGGGTGTAGTTACTATAGTAACAAACACTCGCGTCAAAGTCTTTTCGCTTTTCGGTGTTTACCAATTCCCGTAAACGGTATCTGTGGAGCTAAGATATCTGGCTTCTTTAGGTAAAATACGACGATTTAGGTGGAGAAGATAGGATCATTCGATTCATTTTAGGGTGGTTAGCTTTTGAAGACTTGAAACCCGAAACCTGAAACCTGAAAACTTGAAACTTGAAACTTGAAACTTGAAACTTGAGGCCTGAAACCTGAAACCTGAAAACTTCAAACTTGAAAATTTGAAAACTTGAAAACTTCAGAACTTGAAAATCTAAAACCTTGAAGACCCAACAACTTGAAAATCTAAAAACTTGAAAATTGGAAACTCTTGAAAACTTGAAAACCTGCATACTTGAAAACTTGAAAACTTGCATACTTGAAAACTTGAAAACTTGAAACTTAAAAGTTGAGACCTGAAACCTGAAACCTGAAAATTTGAAGCCTGATACCTGAAACCTGAAACCTGAAACCTGAAACCTGAAACTTGAAACCTGAAATCTGAAATCTGAAACCTAAAAACTTGAAACTTGAAAACCTAACAACTTGAAAACTTGAAAACCTAAAAACTCGAAAACCTAAAAACTCAAAACCTGGAAAATTGAAAATTGATAAATTTAAAAACCTGAAAATTTGTAAAATTGCCAATTGCAAAATTTACATTCGAATAT